AAAATCCATTTATTTACCAACTGTTTATTCTTTATTGAAAAAAGTCAAAACACAACAGAAATGGGATGTTAATAAAATCTGAATATAGTAGGAAGTGAATATAAGAGGAGAAGAAGAGAAGCCCCTTCCTTCTGTGATTGGCTGTTCTCTCTAGTAGTGCACATCTGCAGGCACTAAACATTATCCAAAGATTGAGTCTTTTAAAACACACAGGAAAACTTAAGAACAAGGTTTCAAAGACTCAAAATTCTAGAAATTAATTTCTTAAAAACAATCAACATATAAATCTGCTATTTTCAGATTATGGAGTCAGATCCATATCCTGATTGAAAGGGAAAGCCAGTATAGACCAAGGTCACTTTGATTTTTCAAAAAATAGAACCAGAAAACATAGAATACAAAGAAAGTTGGTAAATTGTGGATTTGTCCTAAAAAATCTGGGTTTTAATTTAAACAAATAAGAGAATTGTAAAAGAGAAGCTTTAGAAACCTAAATTACACATATGCCTCTGTTATAACACTAGTCATTAATGCTTACAATTTAGGAAAGTGTTCAGTTTATGAATCAGCACTTTCTGTGAGTCTTACCCATCAAATTATATAGAACATATAATAAGGAAGCAAGTTAGTGTTAGCCAGATGAATGTCAGAAACATGTCACTGTGCAAAAACCCTCTGTCAGGATTGGGTTGAGGTTTATGGACCCAAATGCAGAGGCAGGGGGGCAGAGGTGAGTTTTTGTAGATTTAATGCAAGGTAAATGAACAACTGAGACAGGGATCCAAAAATCCCCCCAAAGAAACAACAAGAAAAAAGTTCAACAAACCAGAAACCTTGGGGACATCAGGGGAAAACAGTCATGATGAGGTAAGACACCGTAAGACGGCGTAGGTCGAAGTTTGCCGAGGAACCAGCACTGAGGAACTGCATAAGGAGTGTATTTATGGGAGACTAAACAAAGAGAGGACTAATGAGCAGATTGAGAGCAGGTGTGAACAGAGCAGACAGGAAAGGAGCTAAGGAAAAGGAGAACACAAGAGGGCAGCAGAGGGCAACAAATAAAAACCTGAAAACTGAAAAATAACCAGAAAACATAACAAAATAAGAATTAAACCACTAAAACTAGAAAACGTGGAGCAAAGTAAAACTGAATACTCAAAAGAAAACATAACAGAACCAAGACTGTGACACCCTCAGATTAGAGATATTCATTTAACTATGACCTTTTAGCCAAATGTCAGACTTGACAGAAGTAAAAACTAAAAGTTTAGGCCCCCAAATATTGCAGATTATTCAAATCAAGTTAATGCAAGATTGAGCAAAATAAACAAACTATTTAGAAACTTCAAGAGGGACACCATATCTGTGGCTATGTAAGAAAAAAAAAAACATCTTTAATTTCTGATAAGATGTGAACAATCTAACTGGGAGAGGTGTAATAGATTTACACAGAATTAAAATTGAACAAATAAAAATTATATTGATTTATGTTTCCACTGAACGTTTTTAGAAATAATACCCGACCATATTATCAGTTGCTCAATTAGGTTAGACATAGTTAGACTTTGACAAGGGAAAAAAAAGACAAGTTGAATTTTATAGAGCCACAGTTTAAGGAAGATCACTAAAAGCAGACAAACTTATCTTGGACATACGTTGCTATTATTAAAACCTCCATAGGTATATGTAACTATCCTACTTTTAATGTTACAGTCCCTAGCTGCACTTTAAGCTCCTTTTATTTACTGTTTTATTTATGTATCCATGTTTTAAAGATACTGTATTTTTCCATAAAGAATAATTAAAGTAAAAAAAATTCTTATTGCAGTTTACAAGCAGAAAATGAAAGCTAAAGTGGGTCACAATTTTGATATAAAGTGGGATTGTCTTTGCTTGTGAATTATATGCTAGTTCACCTAAAGGGATTTGCTTATAACTAACCGTCCTGTAACTACTGTTTTTGGGTATCAGATTAGAAGTTTAAAAAAAAACCCTAATGCAGATTAATCAGTCTTTAACAGGTTCAAAGACAATTTAATCTAAGTTAAAATGAATCCCACAAGACAGAGTCCACCATCCATAATCACTAAGAACTGTATAACCAACATGGCAAATCTAATCAAGCACCCATAAAACACAAGGATGAATAAAACAGCTTACAACTTTTCTTAATTTTGTTTCAGATATTTACTTTCACAAGAATTACTTCTCTGTATATGGAAGCCTGAGCAACAAATACATCTTAATGAGATGCTAGATATGGATTAATCCTATAAGACCTGCTCTGTTAAAAGGAATTTTCAAAGTGATTCATGATCCAGACGGAACCTGCTAACAGTATGATCCCTGTGCTTGTACTAAACCCACTCACAGCTTTATGCAGGCTACAGAAGCAGGGTATGCTGGGAAGTCTTGGCACAACATGAATAAGCCAACCCCGTAGTGGCGTTCCTATGTTCTTCAGCGTTAAGGAAACGGTTTGTGCACTGTGTAGGTTTCAGTCCTATTTTAGGCAAGCAAAATTATGTAATTTGTCACTTTTCTAATGCTCCCTGACACTAAATGCACATCACTTCTGTATGTGTGGGGAGTTTTATTACATATGCTCACATTGTTGTGATGCAGACAGGCACTTCTCTGCCATTCACTCTGCATGAGCATACTTAATTCTCAGCTTTCCATGTGACTAAACAAAAAACTATTTAGCATGCTTGTCTTTCACCTCCACCATCAGTATGGAGCAGAGCCAGCGTACAATGACAACACAGAGCTTAGAACATCATTACTGAGTGTGATGAATATTTCAGCTCGCTATAGACAGCACAGGGGACATATCATTTTTACCAGCGATCCCCATCTTCCTTTTTGATTGGCTATAATGGGCTTCTGAATCCCAGAGTCCTACTCTTGGCCTTCCAGTCTGTGTCAATGCTGCCTAGATTAGACAGAACCAAGCATATTCACATTATCACTAATGGCAATGTGCAATGTGGGAACACACTCTCATTAATTTCTTGTCATGGTTGTCAACCTGACAAACTTGACCAGACATTGATCATGGTAATAAGACAAGATCAAGATTCTGAGGATATTAGGGACGGGGCTTCAGATGGGTTTGGGTGATTACCCTTGATATTCTCTGTTTCATATGTTGCTTTAAGCTTTGGAAAAGGATCAGTGCAAATGGCATCATTCCTCTTCTCCCAACTACAATGTCCTCCACATCTCCTTGAAGTAAATCTAGATGGCTTAGAGTGGTTGTATTTTCTTCAACAATAAATTAAAGTGGACAGTTTGAGAGATGGTAAGGCTTGAATCTAAGACTTTGTGAAAGCTTTTCACTCCTGGCTATTCCGTGAAGGATATAGAGCAGTCCTTCTGTATAAAGACATTCTGCATCATTTGTAAAGCAGCCATAGCTCTTTGTAAAACCAATAAGATGCTGTCATGGTACAGAATTGCTAATTGGCTGAACCTCCGATAATGACACATGTCCCACCCTACCTAAAATAGGTTGACTACAGAAACATACACTGGTCAACAACTTGGACTCCTTATGACTCGTGAAGCTAAGAATAAGCATAAACCTTAGCGCATTAACAGTCACCATAAAGTCAGCAAGCCATCAAAGATTAGTTATTAATAGATCAGAACTGTATCTTCAGCAGCAGCACAAAATCTGGGATTGCCACTTTAATGCCCTGTTGATGATTTCAGATAGATATACAGAAACAGAGATAGAGAGTAAAGAAAGAAAGAGAGGGAGTAGAGAGATGGCTGAGCTCCTTACCCTTCCCCACCCATTTTTTGGTGAAACAAGCAGGTCCTCCCTAAACCTGATAGTGGCAGCACTGATTATTGACAGCTTCAGCGTTGGACTCAAAAGTAAATGCTCAAAAGACAGAAACTCATGAAAGGTGAGCCACGCCTCGATCGAAGTTTGATCGGCTGATTAAAGATGAAAGCAGAGTGAATGGAGAAGGTGAAAGCAGAACAAACACCAGAGGCTGCAGACACATGCTGTGCCTCATTAGTTACCTTATGAAAGGACAGGAAATCGTTAACAAAGGTGCAGCTCATGCAGAGGAACGATTTATAAAGATTTCGGTAATGATCCAGATCATGTGCAAGTTTTTGCCATAGGTGGCAAAGTTTGCTGCTTGGTGGAGGTCTGCGCTCCTCAACTCTTTTTCTAGTGTATTTATATCTAATTTTTTTTTTTTCACTCTTTTATACAGTTAGCCTAAAGTTCAACATTGAAATGTCTATTAATAAATTATTTAAGAATAATTTTAATTATTCATTTGGACTTTATAATTGTAAGGAGGGAGAGAATAATATGAGCCAATTAGTTTTTTTCTAATAGTGCTGGGGAGATTTTAAAACTACTTTCAACACTGCTTGCCTAACTCATACCTATACGGAGTAAAGACTGTTAATAGCACTTAAGTCCAAGAGTCTGAGATGAGTCGCAAGCCTTTAAAGAAGGACTTGGAGCCCGGTTTAAAGACTTTGCAACACGAATGCAACGGAAGTCTAGGTTGCAGAGCTGAGTCCCTGTGTTTGTTATTTAAAAATCATTTAACACTCCAGACACGTTTTTTCTTGACCACATTTTACTACAATCGAATATGACAAATAAATAAACATGGTATTATATAGCCATTGAATCAGTCACGGACATTGTGTCTATTCCAAATCGAGCTTTCAGAAACTTAATACCGTCCAACACAGCTGCCCACTGAGACATCACCATGTGTGCTGCCAGTCATACTGCGAGTGTGTGCATGACCCTTTGGCCATGGATCCCATTCATTAATTGTCATACAGCATGCTTTAAGAGACTCCTCCTTTTATTTGGGCCCACTGCCATGAAGGGTCATCAAGAAAAAACAAAAAAACAACAGCTTCTCAATTGCTGTTCCTGCAGGCTAAGGCCACTCAGTCAGTACAAGATCAACCCAGGCCACACAACTGGTTAACTATCTCTGTTTACTCACCCTTTTGCCCTCTTTGCCTGGATGACCCAGCTCTCCAGCTGATCCCTAGGGAGAGGACACACATTATATAGAATTAGATACTATATTTAGTACTGGAAAGACTTTGTTTAGTTTCTTGTAAAATCTGATCCAGGCTGATGTCTGATCCACATGTCAACAGACCAGAGGAGCAGTAATAAGATGCGGATAAGTTCGACTGCGAACAAAAGAATTAGCTTAATTTAAATTAAATGTATAGGTGGGAAGGAGTATGTAAAGCTGCAGTTTCGATACTTGAATAGCTTCTAGGTAACTTCTCCAATATCTCCTTAATAGGCAATTTGCAGCCTCAGTTGATCGGGGCTTCATTCCATTACTCTGCAAAGATCCTGATAAGAAACTATTAGCAAGCTAATCAAAATATATTCTAAGTTGATGTTCTTGTTCGAGTGAGTGTATATGGTGCTTCAACAGTTCCTTATCCAGTCTAATAGTTGTACTTGACTTAGAAAAAAAACATGCAAGGTTAACTTGGATCAGCAAGAAAAACAAGTGAGTGAATTATCAAAAGCTTTAACCATGCCTTACCTTTTCTCCTTTTTCTCCTCGAGGGCCCTGAAAAAGTTATATAATGATTTTTTTGTTGGCAAGAAATTAAGCATAATTTCAAACCTATGTGTGAAAACTAAGGAAAACTGCATTTGTATTTATACCACTAAAAATTGTTCCCATCTTGGCTTTTCACAACTTCGTATATTCATTTAATTTATCGGAACTTTAAGTGGCACGTCTGCACAAAGCAACGTATATTTATGAGGCCAATTGATGGAAAAATGGTTTATATATTACCTGAATCTTGATCCAGTTCAGATCTTTAACAACTGCCCTAAAGTCATTTGATCAATAAGAACAGTTATATAAAGACTAAAGAAAACACCAAACCAGTCAGGAGGAAAAAATGTAGTAAAGCCTTAATTTTGACATTATTAAACACTCTCTAAAGCTTTGACTGCCTCATTAATCATAGTTTGATACATTTTCTAAAGAATTAAATAAAAAAAAAAAAAGGATATGGCTCAACTGCAAACCATTTGTGTCACCAGACTTTTTTCTGTGGCTGTAGATGATTTGAGCTTTTTGTTTTTTGCAATAAAATTTAAGCAAAATATTAGTAAACTTAAATAAAACAAAGCTCCCAAAGAGCTCATTTTAAAATGAGGTTTGAGTCATTGGATGAAAATATATCAATATAAGAAGACTATATTTTTGTTGGAAAAGTCATTATGGTTAAAAGTGCAATGTTGTTAATTTTCTAATGTCGAATCTAATTTCTCTAGAGGTCTTAGCTAAAACCTTTTCATCAAAACAGTTCATTAAAAAGAAAAATACATCCACCAAATGTTTAGAAGAGTGCAGAATTAAACTATTAATTTTAATGAAAACATATAGTATATCAACATTTCTTTTTGAAGGGTCCAAAGTACATAAATATTTACTACTAATTATAATGCCAATGTTGACATTGAAGGTTTCGGAACCAATAAAAACAGTAGGTTTAAATCACATGAGAGCTCAGGGATTGCCAGATCCTCATAGCACTGCAATACAGATGAGAAATGGCTTCTTCATACATTTCTTCTTACAGTACCTTTCTGAAATTTAAACCAAAAAATAATAAAAAATTAGCAAATCAAGGTTTAACATGGGTTACGCTTTAGGCATTGCTGCTGGGCAGGCTAGTCCATCAAATGGAAAAAAATGCTGAAAAAGCATATTAGTTTGGAAAAATTTGGCCTTTTTTTTTTAAAGGATTAAAGGACTAGTGTTGCCTTGAGCATTGCTGGGAAAACTTGTATGAAGATACAATTTCCCTGTATTTCAGGGCATCTAATGATGCCCTGTCACCAGACTGATCAAGGTAGGTGAGAGTATCTTTTTCACAAAAGTAAATTCAGATATGAGTAATTATTGTTAATAGTGAAAACTTTAAAATAATTATTATTATCAAAATAAGAGATCTATTTCAAAGGCCAAAAAAGTTTATTTTATCCCTTGAAAAAAATAGAAACTCTACCAGAAACCAACTCTGCCTGTAGTCTGTAATATAGGGTTGTCATTATTTGTTTCAGTGAGAAATGCTATTATATGAACATAGCTATATATATATATATATATATATATATATATATATATATATATATATATATATATATATATATATATATATAAAATTGGGGAAGAAGATATGCTTTAAGTACTATTACAGTAACTTTGAATAGTATATTAATTTGTTAAAAAAACATCAATACAAACTTAACAGCATTATTGATCAGACTGACATGACTGAGAGAGACCGATTTTCTGGCAAAAATATGCTAGCACTTCCAAAGAAACAAGATATTATCTTCAAATAAGTGACTTTTGTGTCAATAAATCCCTCAGCAAAAATATAAAGTCAGAAGAGAGGATGACAGGAGGCGGGACTTAAGGTGGGACAGCCAGTCAGTAGCAGGTCAGTATGTAAGGTTCCAAGGAGCACCATTCTGTATGAAATCCAATGTGCCCCAATGCAACTTTATGTCTTTCAGAGCCCCTGCAGCAAATGTTCCAGAACATGGCTAAAAAAAAATATATGAAGCCAAGAGGCAAATGGTTACTCTGGAGGAGTTGTAGAAATTCAAAACTCAGATGGGCGACTGCTTACAAAACTACTGTTAGCTATATGAACTAAGAAAATTAAGATTAAAGTTTCCAACAAGCTAGGTAGGTGTCACAGCAAACATGGAGGTGCTATGGTCAATTAAAAACAAAATTAAATCCTAATGGTTACAATCCTTCTTGGATGATAAATGTACCCTTTTCATTGGTGGCATCATCATGCTTTGGGGAAAATAGAAGCTGGATTAAGATAAAATCTTAAATAAATTACCTGATCTCCTTTGAGGCATTCATTTCTGCCCTAAAATGCAAGCAAATGTGAAAAACAAGAATTAATAACTCTCATAATTCATTAACAATAACAATTTTTTCTTGATGATCTGAAGAGAACATTGTCTTTAACAATCTGTTCTTATACCTTTTTAAGTATTGTTTTGAGAAGATATGCAGTGTCATCCACCCCCCAGGCTTCAGAGTAAATACAAGGCCATGAACTGCTTGTCTTTTAGTTTTGCTAAATAATTTCTGACTTCCTACAGTTGGCATCCAAACCTCACTCACAGATTTTCCTCAGGCAGTTATAAAATGGAGATTTCGTGTTAGGCACTTTCCTTATGCAAAGTAACAGGGAAGAAAAAGAAAAAAATAACTACACTAGGTGGCTGACAATCCAAATGATTTTGCGGATTCATCTATAAAGGAAGAGACAGCCGTGACCTGTGATGTCTTAAATTAAATATGCTTCAGTCTTTCTACAGTTGCTCTGTTAATAAATTATCATGTTCTTTGGTTGGACTGTGAGCACAATTTGACCTCAAGTAACAAGCAATACAATACGAATGCACTAACAGCAAGTCAGCATTTTAATAGCCTACCTCCAACATTTTCTGCTTAGGCTCACCATCTCATTTACAGCCGTAATGTGAGCAAGTTAGCTAAATGTGTGTTTGCCTGTCAGGGAATACTTGTTACTTTGCTTGTTAAATAAAATTAGCATGAGAGTGTAGCTAATGAATGGTGGCAGAAGTCTGTGGGAATCGTAAGCATTTTGGCGACGTAAAAGAGGCAACCCAGCAGCAGAGGGACTGTTTTTTTTTATGTATCCCTGCAGTGTTGATTTAAACTGGCAGGCTGATCCCCTCATGATGTGCACATAATTAACTACCCACCCACAGAACACCTTTAATCTGCAGCAGGCCTCAACTCTCTGGTCAGAATCCATTGAGAGGATGTGCCTTTGCATTTCTGTCCACATATTTGTTAAATGTGTTTAGAGCATTGGGATGTATATCCAGTACCTTGCAGAAATAGCTACATTGCTTCATAATGTTATATCTCAAATAGAATTCACATTACAACCATCTGTTCAATATATTCTATTAGGATATTTTCCCGACACAAAGTAATGCATGATTGTGATTTTTGATTATGCTTTTTTCAATACAAATCTGAACAATGTGGAATCTGAACAGTATATTTAGTTCCCTGATACCTCCTAATTTAACGTATCCCCCTTAGAAGTCAAATAATTATAAAACAGCTATAAGAATAATATCATAAGCTTTAAACATCTAATGAAATATTTATAAATCCTACAAAAAAAAAAAAGAAAAAGCCCCCCCCAAACAAAGTATCCCAATGGTGAAAAATAGTGTTTATATTATCATGCTGCTCAAGGGTGTTTCTTGAGGATTGAGGGGAGCTGGTTTAGACTTAATATCAAAATGGGATAAAATACACTACAGCCCAAAGAAAAAAGCTATAAGGCATGAAGTCTACATTAAACATATTGTAGAGCCATGCTTTAGATCAAATCATTTTCAAGTTTCATAACTGCCCAGTTCAGATCCACATTATGTGGCAAAACCTGAAAATGCTTTTCAGAGATGCATGAAAAACAACAACAGGATTTTTGCCTATGGATGACATTGGAGAGGTGAATACAAATGTATTTAGCTTTGTATTTTTGTTGTAAAAAAAATGGAAATCAGGTACTTTTCTTCTACTTCCCAAATACACAGAGCTTTTTTGATATATTAAATCAATCTCAATGAACACACTGATGGGGGGTAAAATGCTATAATGCAGCGAATTCAAGTTTAACTAAAGCCAGCGTATGCTCTTCGAAATTGCTTTAATGTTTGGTTACAGAGTAATCTATGTCTGTTAAATTTTTATGAGAAATTGCATATGCAATTCTAAATTCTATATTATTGTAATTCCCCCCAGAAAAGGTGTTCAGGAGGATGCACTAGCCCAGAGCATATCCTGACCATGTAGGAAACAGCCAGTGTCCAAAGCCCTGTCATCCACACCCCTCACCCTGAGGCTTGGAGCTGCACTCTTAACCACCTGGCTGCTCATCCCTATCCTTTTTGGCCCGAATGAAAAGGCCCTCTGAGGC